TGTTCGGGGTGTCTCCAGAAAGTCCCGCTTCCAAAAAACGAAGAAAAAAAATTGTTCTTCCAAGTCGGTGTTTATTATTGGCGTGCGAATTTGGCATTGGTGATTACCACATTTTCTATTTGGGAGCATTTTTGTAAACGTCATGTAAGACGAGATTTTGTGAGATTCATCGGTGGAACTATAATTATGCTTCGCAGTGTCCACCATGTGATGGCCTACGTGAAATCTGGTGCTCCAATCGAAGGGAAGGTGCAAATTAAGGGAACGCTTCGCTCATTGCCGCACGCGACCAAGAGGCAATTTACGACTTTCTTCCCTGCTCGCCTGCGGAGGGCGAGATTCCGACAAGACTTTCGTGAAACGGCCAGGCAGGGCAATCGGTCCGTAGAGCGCGGTGTCGTTAGGTTACGTCCCGTATGCCCACAATCGATGGTCCCTGTCACATACCCAGGAAGAGGGGAGGGGGGGGGGGAGAAGCCGCAATTTCGCTTGTTTATTTTGCTGGTTCATGTGGACCACAGGTTATCGTGTCAAGTCTTGTGAAGGTGCGAGATTATACAACAAAACAACCTCGATAACCGGAATTCACAGGTCTTTACAAGGTAACCTGTAGAATCTTCGTTGAGTACGATTTGGTGCCCCGTCAAATCAAACTGCGCCTGCAACACGACTGTCCTCGTGCAATGATGAATTGTGACTGGTTTGTTCGTCATTCTCTTCTTGAGATTTCGCCTTCTTGACATATCAAAGTCCATGGCTGAGGCTGGAACGTTCAACTGGGCCGCTTCGCTGACTGCTTGGGTTATAACGTGCCTGTCGTCGATGAGAGGAGTTTCAGTTATTGGAAAGACTGCTTTTCTGACTGCCACTCTGCCGTATGTAATAATAGTGCTTCCAGCTGATATTGTTTTTCTGTTTTTCATTTCTGATTCTCGGTGATAATGCTTACTCGCGGTGTCACAATGGACGGAGCTAAGACCGGAATCGATTATTACTTGCTGCGACCTGACATGAATAAAGTGTTCCGACTTAGGGTGGTTCTTTGATCCGGTTTCTTACCTCAGTGGCCATTTCAGACATGGTTGGACGCAGCCAAGCAGTTGTGCTTCAGCCTTGGTATTGGTTTTGGTGGACTGCTTCCCTCACCGCACTTTTTGCATAGGGCAATCCATCAACTAGATCACGGAAGATGCCACCACGAGCCCCGCCCGACGGCCACGCTTACTTGTCGGCGCGGACACAAATTTTCAAATGTTGTTTCATAACTGATTCTGACTTTTTTGTCTATTGCTGTTTCACATACCAATTTCGACCGAAAAGACTGTTCATCGACACATGGATCACTCCGCCCATTTCTCACAGAGTTTTTTGCGAACTTCGAATTTCCACAACTTTTTCAACTTTGGTATTTCTCATCCACTCTCCACAGAACGGACGCACTCATAGATGCGCTCTGTGCGCCGACACAGACACAAGCTCCGCCCCTTGGCGATGCCCACTTTGCATCTTTTTGCGGAATTTTGATTTTTCTCTAAAATTTTACATTTCTGGCTTGCCAAGAAGCCGCGCCTACAATGGAAAGCTCCGCCCACTCCGTGCAAGCCTCGCCCACTTTTGAAAAAGATGCGCACCGTCTAAAGGCTGAATTGTCATGCTACGGTCTCGCTCGTCACACGGAACACACTTGCCTGGCCTTTCGTTCGCTTGAAAAGTGGTCAATTCTATTTTGAAGTGGAAATGATATATCTCGAGGATGCTATCATTGTGACTACGTGCGACTGTCTTATGTGTATTGTTGGTGGTGTGGCAGTCTTTTCAACTCTCGGAGCAAAATTTGTTGCTTTCTACGAAGACAAGCTGTTCAGTCGCTCTCGTCGATCCTGATCCTTGCAATGGAAGAACAGATCCGCGGCTGTAGTTGGTAGCCACTTTCTCCGCTGGCAGCGCACGGGCACGTGGCTGCAGGCTAATGGTACTCGAGTGCGGTCTCCATAGTCCACTCGCGTCATGCTCAATGTGCACCACTTGCGTCGATACCAAGGTCCCGCAGTGAAATACGCACTTATCGGTAGAGAACAACCACAAGTGAGTGGGCGCAGACAAAATGCGCGCTTGAGAGTAGCTAGGCACCTAGTTGGCCGTGCGGCAGCGCGGGCAGAGAGGACGGAGACAGATTCCTGGCATCGCTACTCTGCAGCCCCGTTTCGTACAGTCGTCATCCAGGCACTTGAACAGGCGGTGAAAGGGTCGCGACGTGACTGCGGAGTCTCACCACCGCGGCGATCAGCTGTTCCCAGCATGGTTCATCCATTTTCTCAATGATTTTCACTGCTTTCTGCTGCTTTCCTTGAGGTTAATTATTTCTTGTCTTCACAAAGTAAATTATGTGAGATTTCACTAATTTTTGCGAACAATTGAACAATTAAACAAATACCTAAAAATTCGCAAAAGCACTGTTTTAGAAACAAAAAGGAATCCACGTTCTTATAGACTTCACAAAGGCAATAACACAAGTTACCGTGGAAAAAATAGAAAATAGAGTGAAAATTAGAGAGAAAGTGGCTAAAGCAGGCTGGAAAAAGCTGATCGCCGCGTTCGTGACGAGCCGCAACTCTTTGACTGCGACTCTTTGACCGCCTAATCGACTGCCCGGATGATGACTGTACTTTTGACCGGATAACGTAGCACATCACTGCACCTGCGGACCCACCACCCGACTTCACCCCAACACGGTAAGAAATCCGCGGAGGTGAGTGGCCAGCTTGAAGCCAGCTTCAGAGCAAGCAAATCCAAATTTTCATAAAAGCCGGGTGACGTTGTCACAGGTAGTACAGGAAAATTTTCACGCAACGATGAGTAAACTACAAAATTGCATTTCCAGCAGCTTAATTTACAACTTTGACACACTGCAGATCGCGTGCGTCACGATGTGGCTCATGTGAACAGATTGAGAAAGCCTGTTTGATTTCTTGGGTATTTCATCGTTTTCCAAAAATGTGACGGCACAGCTTTACACCACGGCCGCTCTTACCCTCTCATCTCAATGAATTTTGTGTCGTGACCTTGCAGCACTCATCCGTTTGACGTTATGAGCCGGTTAGCCAATATGGGCATTGAACCCCGAGAGCGAAGATTCTATTAGGTTGTCCCGAAGGGAAGGGTATTAGGTAAGCAACCCACAGCTGCTTTGCTGTCAATCGCAGTCGCTGTTCTCGTATCCAAAACGATAGTTGAAATTCATCATTTTCGTAACACTATGAATCTTCACTAAGTCACAAAGTGGTTGGTGGCACACGTGGCATTTGCTTTGAGTTAGGTCTTGATGCTACCTTGTACGGCTTGGAATGGCCCGATCGCTCAAAGGCACACTGTGCGCTCAACTACAAGGCGTCGTCTTCGGGTCTAACGAGCCATCGGCTGTCGGCGTAGCGACTTCCCCGTCCAAACGATAATGGTGATCCAGGACCGTCGGACACGCTTATTCCTCCATACTTTGCACAAAATGCAACTTGCGGCGCAGCCTCCCGATCCCGTTTATGCTGACAGCAGTACGCGCGGCGCTTGTCGCGCGCAGCGCTCCTGGCACTTTGCCAAGTCAAATTGCACTTTGGAATACAATTAAAAAGCAAACTCCGATAAATTTCGAGCTGTTGCTCATGCTGCAAAGTCCGAATCGAAGATGACGAAGATGTCATTTATAAATCACGACCTGACTGTGTGGAGCGGTCGCGCTGCGGCGGCAGCGGAGCGCGCCAGCGGTCAATGGAATTATGCTCTAGGATTGACGGGAGTTCTAGCAGTGTTCTCCTCTATGTAAAAAAGACACACTCGTTTTATATACACCTATAAGTCAGATGCGTACATTTAGCTAGGCCAAATAGGCAGACTCACCTCATACCTAGTTCCCCTTGGGGCGTGGTGCGAGGTGAGTGTTCGGGAAAGTGGGTGTATGGGGAGGCTTAGCTGAGTGCTGCATTCTCCTTGTTAGGCTCACCCAAGAGAAAACAACAGCAAGAAAACCCCTAAGTTCACTTCAGAAAAACGGTTGAACGTACAATTGTTTTATATTTTCCGTTTCGGTAGTGCTCCTCAAACATACATTAGCAAAACTTACTTGTAGTCAATTTTTCTATTTCTTCAAAGCTGATGTCTGCTTCCGTCTGCATTGTGCTATGAACAAATACATTAGAGAAAGAGTAGGCTGAAGCGGTGTGGGAGCAATGGTGAGGGCGTAATTAGGAGCTCGCATAGTTAAGTTGTCGAGCATTCAAGGCTTGCATTGGTGACCCAGACATTGCGACGGTAGCGCTTCAGTCACGCGTTCAACGCGATCGATGTACGTAATCGAAACATGCGCAGCGATCGCGCCCAACGCGCGACGGATCTCGCCAACGTCGCGAAGTCCGAACACTGCCCAGTAAGTGCTGCGAAAGCAATTCAAACTTCGTGAAGCGCTCTGTCGAGGAAGTCCTAGGACTGCTCAAGATCGGCTCAAGACCTCACAAATAGGCCGTGCAACTTATAGAGTTTAAGGGCTACGGTTTTAGATGAGCCAGAAAGCAGCTGTGTCAGACATTTAGCATCCAAAAACCCCTCGTTGTTCCTAATGTTTTCAAAACTAGGTTTTCTTTTCTTTTCTTTTCCAAGTTTCTTAGTAACTTGGATTCTCTAAAGAACACTCCACAATGTTCAGCTCGATGCTACGAAACTTTTCTGGTAAAATGTTTCATCCACCCTTGTCAATTCAGCTATTTATTCCTCTACTTGCGCTCAGGGCATGACAGTAATCCACAATATGTAACATCAGAGCAGCAACAGTTAAGGAAAAACAAAACACCATTAAGAGGGCATCACAATCCATGCAACGCAAGTCAGTATACCCTGTTTCAGTTCAATTACCTCAAAACATTAATCTCGACTATCGCTTATGACAAGTTTGAACGAGGTACTGGTAATCCACTCACAATTTAAGATTTCTTCTTTACTTATCATCCTTTCTGTCATGTCGCACTGTTATCTTTACTCTGATCTCTGAAATGAGTGCTTCCATTGCCCACAGTAACGCTGACTCTAATGCATGATCGATACCATCTCATCCTGTCGAGTGCCGTTCTTTGGAGAAGCGGTTTTCTTCCAGGCCCCGTAAGTTCAGGACGTGCAGCAATCTCAGGTCTCACTGAGCTCGATACCAAAACCATTTTTGGTGCCGCAGTGATAAGGTCGCGAATATCGCAAAGACTTGACAAAGTCTCATCGGTGTCTGTGTTGACCAGTCTACTCACGTTCGTGCTGACAACTGAGAATGCCTAAAACTATTCGTAGACTATCCACTTCAATACTACACTTATGAAACCACTTACTAGCTCAATCTCATTCCTGATTGTTTTTCTTGTCTCCAGTTGGCTCTGTAATTCACTAGCTACATCTCCAGATGGTGGGATATCCTTAGAGCCTTGATTTACTAGATGAGACGGCGGGTCTCCTTCAGAAACAGCTGGGCCTTTAAGGATTTTTACCGCATGCCGATGGATACAGGGAATATGGGCTCTGTTGTCCAGAAACTGCATAGCCACGTAGGCTATGCAGTTGTCTGAACAACAGAGCCGGTATTCCCTGTATAGGGGCACACTCCGCACAAAGGACAGTGCACATTCTATGTTGGTGAGCAAGTACATCCCCATTTTGCCCTGAACCACAAACTTCTACTCTGGATTTTTTTCCCCTAATCTCCCATGTGTTACTGCCAGTCTCGGATATCTTCTGCGGATTTTTCTTATACAATTGTGGTGCTAAACGATGCCGTTTGGATGTTTGTTGCGTCCAACAACTTGCAGTCGCGAGTCGACGCCGGTTCTAAATGTGTTTTCATGCATCTCAACTATTGCCAACTAGTGCACATGATGCCCTCCGTGACTTCGTTAGAATCGGCTAGATCCTCTACGGCTCTTCTCAACAATTCCACGAAGCAATCGACTCGTGAGTTCGCATTCCTCTGAAGGACCTCATCCTTCGAGCGGAGGTGTCAGCGCTCACTTAGCATAGTTGTGCCCATTATGGCTCCCATTATGGATGCCGAAAGATGTCCAGCTAGTCGCTCTGCCTAAAAAGCAGAAAATTATCACCGGAATTTAGCGAGAATGATGGGACGTGCCTAGGTAGTCGGATCGCAAGTATTCTGTGCCGTTTTTCGACGTCCAAATAGGCATAGGCTAAAAGTTGTCCGAATTTCAATTGAAAAGTATTGAGCGGTCCAATAAGAAGGATTTGCTTCAGATCGTTGTTAATGCGCTCTCGATGGTGAGGAAAGTTTTCAGGAAAGCATGCGCCAAATGGGACTGTCCAAAATTGACAACGAACCCCACCTCGTTCTTCTACTTTCCTTCCCCAAGTCTTAGGTATGTGCCATCGGCAGTAGTGTAGCCTCGCCGTCGACGATGGGAACACTGCCCGCAATCCCTTATATAATCACAAAGCTTCACCAGTAACAATGATATTGGGGTTGAACTCAGGCATTAGTTTTTCATTCTTCGAATAGCTTCTCGACATCCAACGACGTCATAGTTGCTGAAAATTCAACTAGGCATTTCATCCTAACTCTGAGTCTCACCAAAACTAACCAGCGGGAAGCCCTCTGTCCCTTTCATCGGCGATAACAATGGTCGCTAATTTCAAGTTGTATCGTGTCGCGCCATGTGTATCATCAACAGATATGCCACGAGTGGAATACGCCTTCAGCCATTGTAATTTTCGAGGAGTTGCATTTTCTCTGAATCAGATACAAGCATAATCCCACCCACAATAAATCCCTTTCCACTACGATCGGCGGGCGTTTGCAGAAGGCGAGTTCCATCATCCAGATTCTGCTCAGCTGCTCGCAGTTGCAAAGAGTTGAGATCGTTTTCGTCGCGAAAACCAGGTCTGAGTCCATGTTCCGCGATGGTGTTCAACAGCTCGTTTTTCGTAATAAAGTGCAACCGTGAATCTTTCGTCGAGAAAGCTTTCAGGCATCGCCGAATTACATAATCCAACGAACGCTCTCAATAAAATGTACTTTAGTTGGCGGTTCCTGATAGGGGTCGCTATGGCTTTACCTTACAACATATTCTTGCGAAACTCTTTTTGTACAGTCTATAGACGTGAAAGTGCAGGTTCAACCTCGTGACCCACATGGCCTAAGCACGCTCTGACTGTAATCGTGCCGTCCTCATTTGAACAGACACGCTAGTGCATCCACGTAGGAGGAGCGGTGGAGTTGTTGCTTCCTACTATGAGGGGCGCGGCTGTCGGATTTCCCAGCACGATTACATTGAAAGACTGTCGTAGTACCCATCACCATCGTATGAGATGAATGATGACCTATAATACTGGTTATTGCGAGCCTTGCTTTTCTTGCACAGAGAACTAACCGTTTTTGGCTACGTTTTATTGAGCCACGCCTGAAATTTGCTACTCATTTCTAGCCTTGCACTGAGAAAACTTTTATAAGGAACGTTAAGACTTTCTTTAAGAAACGGTATGGTTCAATCACAGCGCTAGCAATAATTAAATAGTGTCAAAGAGCTGTTATTAGACAACTCGGGCCTCCTGAATCGAACGCCAATTCGTAGCTTCCTTCGCCATCTCGCCCCTTCGTGACTGTTTGGCTTGCACCAATGAATAGAAAGCCCTTCGTGATCCATACTTTTAGTCCTAGCAAGCGGACAGCTGCCATGGGCTATCTCGCTTCTTGTGGCTTGGGCTTTCATCCTGATAGTGTTCGCTTTACGCAGACGTCGTTTCTTCTTACCGTACATTGTGTCCAGTCTTAGATGCGGCGACATATTTCTTACCGGAGCATATCCTCTTCTGACCATATAATGCAGCGATATCAGCACTCCTCGGCGTTGTGATGAGCACGTCATCTGCAATAGCATCTCGACTTCAAACAAGGCGGAATATTAGTAAAGCATTACACCCTCACGCAACAGAAATTTACGGAAAAATGCAGGACAGTTTTTTGGCGGGAAACTGCTGGCAAATTCCAGATGTCATCTGCGGACTCTGTAGATTTCCTACACATTCGGTGAATCCCTATTATAGTAAAAGATTTGCACGCTCATGTGAACTTGCATACATCGTAGGGAATTGGCATCGGACTATACTATCATACAGAGCAGTAATTGATATGTTGTAAAGGAACACGCTTTGAATGGTGAACTTTCTAGGAAGACAAGAGTCGCGAAATCATATCGATTGGAGAAAGAAAATAATCGTACTTGGGATTTCTGGACAGCAAATAACACCACTCGCGCAATCTATTTATAGGACACATCACGGTTTCGACTAAAAGGCAAACTCTTTGCAATCGCCAGAGTGCGATCGTTAGCCGCAATATCAGAGTAATGAATGTAAAACAAGAAGACGAAGTAGCATTAAGAGAGTTTACCTCGATATAGTGTGTGCTAGTAGTACGTAGAATCTGACTACAGACTTGGTAATGCCAACGGTGGAGTAGATGAGGAATAGAATTCCTGCGAATAACACCCACGTGTTAGCAAGGAGTACAAGTAGCCCACTTGATCCGTCAAATCGAAAACGTACCAAACACACACACCTATTTCATAACTCTACCAATATGATAGAGTATGGGACGGAGGTCCTGCAACATTGGTGGACATACGAATTATTCCGCATCTAACCAAGGAACGGATGGTTGGTCGATGTGGCCATTGAAACGAGATATATATTGGCCGATGGGCCCTTGTACCGTATCTGCCATCTGTATCTGCAAATGATATTTCTGCGGATAGAATGAACATGCAGGAATTATCCACCCAGGTTCGCATCCCCTTTCCACCAATGTAGCTAAGGCGCACCAAAACCCACGAATTGAAAAAATCTGAGATGAGACGTGGTCTGGTTCTCCAGAACGGGAGAGATGTTTGTGTTCTGAGGCTCAAAATAGCATTGGAGCAAGTTTTCAACCAATTCTAAGACTTTGATCTGTCTTCGGTACAGTGAGGAAACCTTGAGCAACAAGTTCCGTAGGTCGCTTGCACTATCGCCGATCAAAAGCTCTGTGGCCAATGCAGCTTTTCCGCTGAATTTTATCCTAGTTGGTTACGGTCCTGATCACGATCATGACATTAACTTTTGGCTTCCATATCATCTGGAATCAGTTTGGTGGCGTAACACAACACAACAAATAGTGCCGCCGGAACCATCGATGAGGAGTATCCTTCAGGAGCGTTCCAGAATGGCTCCATTCCTTCAGATATTACATTTTTTGGTAGGATCAGGTCCCGTAGCCCCGCAAAAGTGCATTTAGGATGTGCAGGGAGCAAAACGCGTAGTGATCGAAGGATCCAAGGCCTCGACCTCGCACACGTGGCTCTTGTCGCTTCTCCACTAGGCCATCGCTGCACGTTATTAGTGTGCTCATCCGTCATTAAGATACATGCTTAGCACTGATGTTCTCTAGCAGTGGTCTGCTAAAAAAGCCTCCATAATTCTATTCAGAGAATCGTTTAGCAGATTTGGAGGGCAGATTTGAAACCTGTGTCCAACGACGCAACACGCGGTATAGATCTCATTTCAAATGGCCACTTCGATCAACCATCATTTACTGGTAAATGGGATATTGTCTTGGTGAGAGCAACATTCTGCCGTCGAAATAGTTTTGTTAATAATGCGGTGCTCCTAATAATAGAATAACAAATCGAAATCTAGAGTCAATTATTTTGTGATTACCGAGGCCTGCGAAGTCCGAAGACGTAATAACATGTAAAATAGTCTCGTTTGGAATTGCTGATTGGCATAGTTATAATTATGGAGTCTTGCTGAATAAATAATCAAAGGATAAACTGATGTTTAGTTCACAATCACAAAGCCATTAGCTCTCACCTTTGCCTTTTGACCTTCTTCGCATAGGTGCATGGAAAAGGTTTTTAGTATGTCGCCGCAAGTGCCCTCTAAAGTCTACATAGTCTATTAGCACATTGATATCAGCCAATTTATCGAAATAACTGGAGAACGGATGATAGATGATGCTCATGCCGTCATTGGTTATGAGCAGGCGCCAAAAGACTCACTAAGTCCATGAAATGTGATAGTCATGTTGTCAGAAACGTAATGGCAAGAAAAACATTGTTGCAGTAGTTAAGGGTAGTAGAAAAACCCCAGCCACCGCACGATCACCTGGCGGTCACCTTTACAAAACACAACCTAACTTTGCGGCGCGGACGCGCCGCAGCGCGACGCGCCGCAAAGTTAGGTTGTGGTTTGTAAATAACATCGATGATGAATGATAAACGCTAGAACTGAGGAACAGCTAATGTAGGTGTAAATAAAATATAAATAAAACTTTTGAGGAGATATAAATTAATTCAAATCCCGTGTAAATTCGCAGTTCAGCGCGATTCCTGCTCCACAGCCATAAAAATAGTTTGAACTAACGAGTGAGACGCTCAAGCCGTTTCCATTATCATGTTTTGTGGGAATGCGCGCCCTCCAAGGGGATTCTAGAAGCAGCACAGTGGCTCTTGAGTTCTGGCCCTCGTCATCATCTTCGACTTTGCAGCATGAATAATGCCTCAGCTGCCATCTGCATCAGGGGTTTGCATTTTAATTGTATTCGAAAGCGCCATTACAAGACTTGGCAAAGTGCCAGGAGCGCTGCTCGCGACATGCGCCGCGCAACCGGCAGTTAGTATAAACGGGATCGGGGTATGCGCCGCAAGTTGCATTTTGTGCGAAGTATGGAGGAACAAGCGTGTCCGACGGCCCTGGATCCCCCTTCCTGTATGCCTGTTCGGACGGGAAACCGCTACGTTCGACATCTGATGGATCGTTAGACCGGAGGGCACGCCTTCTCGTTAAGCGTATGTTGTGTCTTTAGGCGACTTCTACGTAGGAGACGAGCCTTGTCCGGAGAGGCCAACTGTCTTGAATTCGGACCTACTGCGTCTCCAACATTAAAACCAATTAGTACGAATCAATTCGCTATTTGATCTTTACACTTGACCGTTCCAAGAGCACAGGGACAGAGGTCCTCTCCCTGATGAAAGTGTTGAAGTCCGGTCAAAGTTTTCTCATGAGTTGACGATACTCATGCAGGGTCGCATGTTGTACTGTCTACAAGTTCTTTTCCGCTCCCGCTATAAGGACTGGTCGCACAACGTTGTAAATGGATATGAAGGAGATGTCTCTAGGTGAACCATTTCCGGAAGCACTAGTGGTTAGATCCTCCAGAAAGGGCGGCAAAGGTCGCGCAATCCTATCGATCCAGTAGGGTGGTGATAGTGTGTATGTGGTGTGAGTCACCGCAAGGAATCTCTTCCTCCCAACGTTGTGGTGACCAGCGAGTCCTTTGTAATCAACCGCAGAAGGAGAATGAGGATTCCCACCACTTGGTTCCACAACCCACCAGTGTTTGGCTGCTTCATCACCACAGCTAAGGATCACTCAAAGGGGTTTGGAAATGACAGTGCTCGAAAACCTTAAGCACCACCGTCTTCGGGTAGTCTTGATTTAGCTCTATCTGACTGCCATCTAAACTAATCTCTCATCGGCCATTTCTAGTTGAAAAGTACGATTTTCAAAAGTTCTTCAAAAATGGAATTTCCCCTTTCTCGGCCCGTAACTAAAAAGCTTCTGGAAGCAAGGCAATCACTCTTTGCTTGGTGGTTGGCAACAAGGTGCAAGGTAAAATATATCAACAAAGTGTTGTATACCATTTCCATTTTGAACTTAACACTTTTCAAATAAATTCATCACTTTTCAAACCAAATTCACCACTTTTCAGACTAAATTCACCACTTTTCAAACCAAATTAACCGCTTTTCAAATAAAATTCACCACGTTTCAAATCAAATTCACCATTATACAGCACGCCAACCAGACCACTGAGAGTCCTTCCCGACCACGCCTACTTGTCAGCGCGGGCGTAGATTTTCAACACAATACATGGCCGACTACTCTCATTCTTCTAAGGGTTTATGCGAGCTTCGAAATTTCATAACTCTTTTTAACTTCTTAGTTTCATGTTCACTCGTCGCACAACGAAGATACTCGTAACAGCGCATTTATACACCAGCAAGTTACCCCCCACCTTGGCCACGTCCACTTGCTGTTTGCGGAATTTTGATTTTTTTTCTACATGTTTGCATTTTTGGGGTGCCCATGAAGCCCC